TCTAACCACGCCCCTAATCTCATCTCTGCTGCCATTGCTGTTGTTTAAAAGCTGCTCAAAGCCAAAAGCAACATCTTGACATTTTGATTTATTTTAGTAGAGACTGTTGCTGCTGCTGTTGCTGTTGCTGCTGCTGCTACTGTTGTTGCTGCGGCTTGTTGCTTGGCATAAACATAATCGGCTTATTGGCATTGCCCTGGCTGACTTGAATCCAGTTGAAAGCTGATTTCGTTGCCAAATAGCTGACATAGTTGTTGCTGCGACAGATATGGTTGCTGCTGCAGCTGTTGCTGCTGCTTCTGCTGCTTGCCTTAGCGCCATGGTAGCCTTTGTCCTGCGGCTTAGTGGGCTATTGCCTGCTGTATGCCCCAACACTTTGGTCCAAGAAGCTCTAATGCTTATGTAACTAAAAATCAAATGAATTGCTGTTGCTGCGGTTGATGTTGCTGTTGCTGTTGCTGTTGCTCTTGGTGTTATTGTTGTCGCAGAGCTAACGAGCTCGTTACGCCTCATTGACTTCGGCCGTGCTTTGTGTGCATCGCAGACTAATGGAAATTGAATTCACAAACCGATTTGCCTCCGCAAATGCAAATGAAGTGCAAACTACTTACAGAAACAGGGGCGTGGCTAAGTAGGGGGCGGCAGGTGTGGGCGGATTGGGCAATTGTTAGCTTTATAAAGGTGCTCGAGTTGCCTGAATAGCAAAGACAAAAACAACGCACAAAAAATAAGAAAACTCAAAGCGTCAGCGTCTGAATGCCTTGCTCCTCATCCTTGCCATCCTCCTCCACCTCATCTTCATCATCTACTGCGGCATCATCCACTTCCGCGTCCTGCTCTCCATCAGTGCCAGTTAAAACAACAGCTCCGACACTGCTTTGCTTCACTTTTTGTACCTATGCAAACAATTGTGAATTGTGAAGAGCTTGAACAAATCTGAATGCCCACTTGAATGAAGCCCAGGTCTAACAAAGGAAAAACAATTGAGGGAAAAACAGTTTCAAGTTGAGATTTACAAAGCGAGTTTATCTCAACGATTTAGGTCACCAAATCAGCTTTAATCATCGTCATTATTATAATGGACTTTTGTACCCGGGGCCCATTGAAAATGGAAATTCAAGGCTTTTCTCTAAAGGCATAAAACATGTTGAAAGAGGCTTGGCAGACGCCATAAAGTATATATATTCTTGATCAGGACAATGAGCTGAGTCGATTTAGCCATAGCTCGTTCGTCTGTCCGTATATAAGTCCGTCTGTCCGTCCGTCCGTCTGACCGTATGTAAGTCTATCTGTCCGTCTGTCTGTCCACCTGCCTGTCCCTCTATGCGTCTGTCCGTCTGTCCGCCTGTTCGTCCGTCCGTTCGGCAGCTAGAGACTTGAAATATTTGTCGGCCTCAATATATTTATAGCTCGCGCAGATCAAGTTTTGTTCACCTAATCGATAGCTATTCCCCTTTCAATATTATCGATTAACACCGGAATCAAAATTCAGTATAAATTAAATCTATGGAGCTTGGTTCTTCCAGCTTCAAGTATACTTATTTATATTTTGATGTTTGTTATATTTTGTATAGCGTATAAAATTACGTTTAGTTGCAATTCTTGGCAATATGTGAAGTGTTCGAAGTTTGGCCAAGCTAATAAATCAGAAGCTGAAAATGTCAGTGAAATCCGCTAAGCAACACAGAAGGTTATGGACAAACAGTTTAGCCAATACGTCCCGAAAATAAACACTTTTATTTTTTATTTATTTTATGATGAATAACATTTTTTCTTTTGGATAAAATTTAATTTAATTAAAAAAAGTTATTTTTAAAATTATTTTTTTTTTTTGAGAAATGCTGAAATATTAATAAAGAGAAAATAAAATTTGTTTCTCTAAAAGTGTTGAAAGTGCTTATGAGAAAGATGAAAAATCTTAAACACAAAAGAAGATTTAGCTTAAATCTTTAGTAAAATTTTTGTAGACACAATCGGAAGAAAAAAAACAAATAAATTTATTTAACAATCGTCAGCAATCGCCCATAAAATTGATTTATTTAGCTGTAGATTATGCCAATAGTGATTACTGATTCAAGCATATAGACGTGATTCTTATAGTTAATCTGTAGAGCAGGTGGACAGCAGAGTTTTTGGCTCGAGCAAAGCTCATTCCAATTGGGCATGCCACCAAATAGCAGTCTGAGCTTATCAGCTCAATTATATATTTCAAATAACAAATCTTGAATAGCTTTTATGTGCTAAATGACATTTTATATTTTGCTTTGCCACGCCTCTACTCAGTGTGTAAAAAAAAACTAATTTATTTAAGGCAAGGATAAATTTCAAATGTTAATGGTTTGATATAGAATGAGTATATATTCATACTTATATTTATGTATATATATATATATATATATATATATATATATATATATATATATATATATATATATATATATATATATATATATATATATATATATATATATATGTATGTATGTATGTATGTATGTATATATATTTGTATATATACATATATTTATAAGTACACATACATTGCAAATGCTTATAAGGCCCATATGAAATGTCCACTATAGGCTCACATATAACATTTAAGTGGAATGGAACAGTGACTGACAAAATTATTTTAAGAGAGAGTAATTTCTCTGAGATTGAGAGCTTTAAGAGAGCAGAAGACTGCAGTGATAAAGTAACACATTTCTTTACTATGATTATCTGCGTCGTAGATAATGCTTCTTTGGCTGGACAGAAGTATGTTTACATTCGTTTTGTATAAATTTTCGATAATCGCGGATCATTTACTATCATTTCCGCTGCCGCAGGACAACACTTGATGCCACAAGGCCTAAATGAAAACTGCAATATTGAATGATGTAGAAATTAATATATTAAATTGGCTGCCTCTAAGACCCAATCTGAATCTAATAGGAAACTTTTATATTATTATCTAATAAGAGACTTTTATTAAAAAAAAAACGAAGCTCTTATCATCGTCAATTCCTAGACGCCTACAAGAGGTTATTAATGTCAAAGGAGTGCTTATTGTCCACTAATGCTTTTGTTACCATCACCAACACTAACTTCTCTCATTTTAATCAACGACATTCAATTGTCCAAATACTTTTGCGCACCATTAATTAAAAAAGATTTGTTTTTTTTTTTTTAATATAATATTAACAAGTATGAACGTTCTAGTCGGGGTGCCCGAGTATTAAAAAAAATACAAATAAAAACTGACATTACCACACCAAGATTCGAACCCACAACTTTTACGCAACGCGCATCAACTCTACCAACACCGTCCCTTCATAATTAAAATATAAATAAAAACATAAAATATGCCTCTTCGCCGCGAGGATTGAACCCGAGATTAAGCGCTGACGTGCGCCGCCTCCACCTACACAGCCACTGCACTGATTACTCAAGTAATTGCAAATTTGAAGTTTAGTAGCAGCTAAGAATGCAGCACAATTCAATCGCAATTTCGATTCTTCGAATAGAAAAGAATACACGCATTTGAATGTATGTGTGCACACGCATAGCTTTCGCTGCTGACATGTGTTTTTGCAAATTGGCCAAATTAATTGTTTTACTTAATGGATTTTAATGAAATTTCAGCATATGATCTACATATGAGATGCAAACGCCTTCACATAATGGCCATATTTCCAACTAAACTTAAATTTTAAGAATTTGGGGAAAGTTGGAGGCGGTATCTAAAATCCAACAAAAATCAAAATTGCAGAAAATATACATAAAACTAAATACAAAATTTGGAGGCTCTAGTTCCTAAGACGTCCGAGACATAATTTATTAACTGCATTTCAATCATGTTATTATTCGATAACAATTAAATGCGAATAGTTATCGAATACTTGAAACAAACTTGATATGCGCGTGCTACAAAAAATTTCAAGTCGCTAGCTCTTATAGATGCTGAGATCCATGCGTTCACACATACGGACAGACGGACAGACAATCGACATTTTCAATGGAATCAGGGTATAAAAATGATAAACTTTTGCATTTCAAGAAATTGAACTCATAAGATTAAATTGCCAATCATAAGAAATCTAGTGTCTAAATACACTTGTTCACATGTAGATATTCGACAATGTATATAAATAAATGTATAAATACATACTTATATATTTATGTATATATTTATATCAACTATTCCCAACTAATAGAAATATAATTCACATTACAATAACGAACTTCAAATATGTAAATCGAATCATAAATATTTTGCCAAATGCAAATGCAAATGCAAATGTGATTTGGGAGAGTATAAATTAAATTGACAGTTGCAGCTTGATAAATAGTCGTCGAGTAGAGCTGTGAGTAGTCATATGATTGGGGGACATTGATGCTCCTCTCGCTTTCATACTTGTTGAGGATACGTGTGCTGTGTGTATTTTGTGGGTCGACAGAGAGGGAGTGAGAGAGCAACACACAATTTACCCACTCATATGTTTCAAAAGCAAACAGAACAGAGGAAGAAGCGGCACATGTGAATGTTTTTTTTTTTTTGTTTCGCTAAGGCCCCGCTAGTGCCGCCGACACAGGCTTCTGGCAGCGCTCCTGCAATGTTGTGGCATGCAACAGGACGCATGCGTCTGCCTGGATGAGCAAGGTAAATAGAGGCGCTCTGCTCTGGTCACATTGCCGTGCTCTACTCCCCACTGAAAGCTGTTGCTCGCCATAGCAAACCTCATATATATCTATTTTTTAAATTTTTAACATTCATTTTATAAATAAGCTAAGATAAAATCAAATTTTATCGCAACTGCTGCTGCTCGTTTCTCAGCTGATTTGCTTTTGCTCTCTTCAAGTTCTCTTTTCTCTGTGAAGTGAAGGCTCTCTTATAAAAACAAAAAGCAAGCTTCACACACACACACACACACACACACACACACACACACACACAGAGACAGCGTCCGCTTGCCGGCGAAATGGAAAATTGTCGCACACAAAAGTTTTAGTCGGAAATTAGACGGCAACGCGTTCGCAACGCAGAGCGCGCGCGCTCACACTCTCTCTCTTTTTCTCTCTATCTCTCTCGCTCGCTCGCTCACACACTCCCTCAGTGTCTCACTCGCTCGCACACACGCGCTGACCGCCACAGTGTGGCCAGCAAGTGTTAAAAAGTTGTCAAACGCAGCAGAACTCATCGCAACGGATCGAACATTTGTACATATATATATCTAAATACATATAACTAGATATATCAATATATATAGTCGGTGTTTGTCAACAAACATGCAGCGGAAATTAACGTAGAACTTGTGACTTTTACACTAGTTCCGCCCACGAAAGGAACAACAACTATTGACTCGAGTGTCTGGACAAGAAAAACGGCAAAGAAAATAAAGCCTTTCCGATTTGAATACTTGAAATCGTGTCGAAAACTCGTATAAATAGAGCGCGCCCACTTGAATGTGCTAAAAATACGAGCGAGTGGCTCGCTTGACACATCTATTTATCTATTTATTTATTTCTGTTTTATTATATCGCTGCACTCGTGTCGCATAAATCAGGGAACTGTTTCAATTGAACCGATCGAACAGGTGCCCGCCAAACATGCTGCTGGCCGTTAATCAGAGTGTGAATAATTCAAAGAAGCGGCGCGACGCAGAGGCAGCAGCAGCAGCAGCAACAGCTGCAGCCGCAACAACACACAGCAGTGCCTCTAGAGAGCTGACAGACTCCAGCACACAGTTGGTGGCCAACATGCTGCTGGATGAGACAAGTCCCTTGGGTGGCGTCTGCCAGAGTTGCCAGCATCGCCAGCAAGAGAGTTGCAAATGCGATTGCAATTGCATCCACAAGCTGGACGCCTCGCCGCCCACCTCCCTTGTCCTTGTCTATTTGTATTTGGGTGCACTTACTCTGATGCTGGCCACGTTGTCGATACTCTTCTATACGTACACGCAGGCGGGCGAGGAGTCCGTGACAGTTGACGTCCATAGCCAGCGAGGCTATCGGAACCAGTTCCAGGATGAGCTGATGCGTTCGGAACATATTCTGCGCGCCATGGTTACTCAGATCATGGAAAGAGATTATCCCATGGAGGCGAGGTGCGTTTTTCGTTGCTAAACTGTTTCCAGCTCCAGTTCGAGTTCAAATTAGAATTTAGGCATCAATGAAGGCGGCTTATAGTTCCAGTTCAGTTTGGTATTCCTAGTTTTACGTTTAACATGTTCAGTTCCAACTCTAGTTCTAGTTCCAGCTCCAATTCAAAAATAGTTTGATTTTCAGCTAACGATAAAGCTACAGTCCAGTTGAGTTTTCGATAGTTCCGGTTCTCGTTCCAGTTCCGGTTCCAGTTCCAGTTCCGGTTCCAGTTCCAGTTCCAGCTCAAATTCAAACATATTTGTACTTTCCACTAACAATACAGCAAACAGCGCTCTTTATTGCTACAGTTCAGTTCAGTTTTCGATAGTTCCGATTCCAGTTCCAGTTTCCAGTTCATAATCAACCAATTCAGAAGCTGCTAGTTCTTATCAGCATGCAGTTAGTATTGAGAGTTAATTTTAAAGTTGTAGCTCGAGCTCAAGTTCAAAGGTTCCAGCTCCAGTTCAACTTTCACTAGGCAATACGAACTGAGGTTTTAGCCATGTTACACTTCTTGAGTTCCAGCTCTCATACCGCATATGAGCTGTGAACTAATTGATGTAGGTAGAGTTTTAAGTTTAGTTAAAGTTCCAGAAATTTCTAAAATTCCAATTTTTAATCCTATTCGCTTCACACGAGTTCTTCTGGTTCCAGCTTAGTTCTTTTATAATCCCAATCACTTTACAGTCAAACAACAGCGCAACCGATCACCATTGTCCGTAACGAGCGGAAGATGAACCACAATTTCATTAGCCAATCGCCGATGGGGAAGCGCTTTCGCAGAGACATCGCCTCGTCGTCGCCCGCCTCGATGCATGGCAAGTCAAGCAATGCCGGAACTATTTCAATTCCATTGAACTTGAATCTATATATTATGCACTTACAGCAGATCCATTGATTGAGTTCTTTAATCCGAACCACCGCAAGGCCCTGGACGAACAGGACACAGAGATACGAAAGCGTACGGGTCTGAAGGGCGCGGCGCCCGGCGGAGATGAATGGATCTATTTGAATACGTATTGCCGTGTGCCAGAGAAGATTATCACGGGCTTTTGCAAGGGCACACAGGACTACTGCCCGCCAGCCCCAGTTGGTCCAATTGGCCCAATAGGGCCCAAAGGACCAACCGGAAATCCCGGCCTGCCGGGCATACCCGGTCCCAAAGGCAATCGCGGTGATGTCGGCCTGCCGGGCGCTCCGGGCGTAGACGGTGTGGGCCAACAGGGAGCAACGGGTCCCCGCGGTCCCAAGGGTGATGCTGGGGCCGTAGGCCGCGCCGGCCTGGATGGCCGAGACGGTGTACCCGGTGAGCCGGGCTTGGATGGAGTGCCGGGTCGAGCAGGCGCTGATGGCAAAAATGGTCTGGCCGGACGCGATGGCAAGGACGGACTCAATGGAAAAGATGGCAAGGATGGCATGTCCATAACGGGTCCAAAGGGTGCCCAAGGTCCACCCGGTGAAAGAGGACTAAAGGGTAAGTGAGTGGCACATTAGCTTTCGATTGTTTCCAACTGTCTCTCTCTCTCTCTCTCTCTCTCTCTCTCTCTCTCTCTCTCTCTCTCTCTCTCTATATATATATATATATATATATATATATATATATATATATATATATATATATATATATATTTTCCTCTCACAGGCATTGCGGGTCCACGCGGACGTCCAGGCAAGCCGGGCACCAATGGCACACCTGGTGTGCCAGGCATCAACACCTGGAAGATGCTATATCCCAATGGCAGCGCCTCCAATGATCTTCTTATACCACCTTCCATTACAGGTGAGTAATCAGAGAGAGTTCTCTGGGCTCGTATGGCTAACTTCTATTCTCACTGCAGATGTCAATGCACCCAACTTCCGACGCAATGTCATCGTCGAGGAGGGTAAGACGCTCAACATGAGCTGCTCAGCTACGGGCAATCCACCGCCTCAGGTGGAATGGCGTCGCGACGATGGGCGCACCATCAATGTGAATGGCATCGAGCGTAAGTCGAAAATGGTTCTTAGCTAAGCGAGGTAACGTCTAATAAGCTTGTCTATCACTCGACAGTAAGCTCCATTAGTGGGCAGTTCCTCAAGTTCGGCAACATAACGCGTCACCAAATGGCTGCCTACACCTGCCATGCCAACAATGGCATTGCGCCCGTTGCCAATGCCACGTTCCTGGTGGAAGTGCACTGTGAGTAGAATGGGAAACCAATTCGAAGAACGCCTTTGTAATTTCCTTTCTTCCTGGCAGTTGCGCCCATGATTTCTGTTTACCGGCAAATGATCTATGCGGAGTATCAGAGCAGCGCTACACTGGAGTGTCAAGTCGAAGCCTTTCCGGAGGCCATACGATATTGGGAGCGCGCCTATGATGGCAAAATTCTCGATCCCAGCGACAAGTACCGCATTGAATCCTACCCAGATGGGTAAGTCACTCATATAGAGCTCTTTTAGCCATAACTAAATATTTCCCCGTAGCTTTAAGACCTCCATGCGTTTGACCATAAGCAACCTGCGCAAGGACGACTTCGGCTACTATCATTGTGTGGCACGCAACGAGCTAAATGCAACAATGGTTAATTTTGAAATAGCACGTAAGCTCGATACTTCATGCATGCACTTATCTATAATGGGTATTGAAAGATCTCTTTTGGTATTTACAGCTCAGGATCCAAATAGTGAAATACCCTATGTGGGCAACAATGTCAAGGTCTATGGACAGCGACCGCCTGAAAGCGAATGTCCCGTTTGTGACCAGTGTCCAGATCCGAGGTGAGTGCTACCCAACAACTCGCTGACTCATTTAGAACTGAACGATCTCTCTATTTTCATAGCTTGTATCAATGCAAAGACTCCATACTCAACAACTTTGAGATACAACCCACTGGCAATCGCAGCTACCCGGGCTTGCCGAAGCGAGTAAAAAGTAAGCTTCGCATGGACCTGACTAACATTCCTAATAATATATTCGTTCTCTTGCCACAGCCTGTTATCTATATGCAGTGGGTAAGCCCGTTTTCCATAAGGTGGTAAACGAGAAGTATGGTTCCTGGCTGCGCGATGCAGCTCCCAGGGAAGTTGATCGGGAGAAAACCTTTGTGACCAATGAGAACGACGCCAATAATCTATTTGAGTTCTCCACGCGCACGCAATATCGCGTGAACAGTGTGCCCAGGCACAAATACGAAATATCCGAAGGCTTTCAAGTAAGATCTCTATAAATGATTTCAGCACTGAATCAGCTCTATAGAACACTGAAATTCCTAGGGCAATGCGCACGTCGTCTACAACGGCTCGTTCTACTATCAACAGAAGAACTCCGATTTGGTTGTCAAACTGGACTTGACGACCTCCAAGAAGATAAGTGAGTAGCTTTTACTGATTTATCAGATATAGGTGATTATATATATGAAACTTGGACAGGCATACAATTGCCATATTCTGGAATCGCGACTGGCAATCGACTCTATGCTACGGACTATAACTATATGGACTTTAACGTGGATGAAGTCGGTCTTTGGGTCATCTACAGCACGCACGATTCCAACAACACGCTCGTAGCTAAGGTAAGTCTCTCTCTCTCTCTCTCGCTCTCGCTCTACTTATATGTATGTGAACATTTATTCAATCTATTATTTTAGCTGGATGCCGAGACCTTGCGCATGCAGTATAATTTTAATATAACACTCGATCATAAACAATTCGGAGAAATGTTTATTGTCTGCGGCAATTTGTATGCCATCGATTCGGGCACCGACAAAAATACCCAAATACGCTACGTCGTCGATCTCTACAAAGGCAAACTGCTCAACGCGAATCTACCCTTCTCCAACCCATTCAGCTACACGACCACAGTCGGCTATAATCCCCTCACAGTGGTAAGTTAGTCTTTCGATTCGTTCGACTTGCTGTTAAGCACTTTGCATTCACCTCCAGGAACTATACTCTTGGGACAAGGGCAACGCACTCACATATCCTATACGCTACAATGAGCATCGCCTAGTTACAGATAATAATTAAGTCAAATGTTTAATACAAATAAATGCAAATTGTTCTTTTTTTTACCACACATATTTGTCTTTTGTTCTCTTAATTAGCGTGTTAATTGGGTGGCATCGGTTGCTGTAGAAGACAGCGGAAACTTACTTGAGAATCTTGCGAGTGGGGTTTGAGCATAGTTTGCTGAGATTACAATGCGGAACGCTGGCATTAACTAGAGCTAAAAGCTCATAGGGTGGTTGGGTTAGGCAAAGCTGGACTAGCTATAGTAGACAGTGCATGCTTTATAACTGAGCTGGACTAGAGCTACCATTGAGTGGCTTGGAATAGGAAGAACTACGAGATAGAGAGCTAGCAAATCTGGGCAAGTAGAGACAGCTGAGAGCTTGCCAAGTTCATAGGAAAGAGCCAGAGTGATATGATATGATATCTAAATAGTAGTTTGAAAACATCAAGGAGAAAGATCTTTAGCAGAGTGTACAATTCACAAACAGAATTTAATACTCACTCTTATTTGTAGTTATATAAATTTCATTTCACCTTCGATTACAATCAGCCATAACTTGACATATTTACCTATCACACTTGCACAAATAATTTGGGCCCAACGATTGCATTTATCATCAGCAACTTGAAATTGAGTATGCATTGAAATGCGATATTGCAGATTGGCAAGGTGTGAAATGTTTATTTGTGACAACAGTCAAACAAGAGGCAGACAGAACTCACAGCTTAGCAAGGGCAAACAAATGTCTCAGTCGACACAGTCAATAAATGGAATAGTACAAACAAAAGCCCTGATAAACTGGCTAACAAAGCACAAATACAAAGCATAATAAAGCCAAGTATTTATGGGATTGAATTTTAGAATAAGCTGACTGAGATGACTACTAAGCCCAATAAATCAAATCTATATTTAGCTATATAGACATATGCGTGCTAATAGCAGTTGCCTAAGAGCGAAAAGTGACTAAGTGACAAGAGATTCTGTTTGCAGGCAGCAAATGAATTTAAGAGTTTGCACCAACAGAGCTTGCTAACGCCAACAACAGCATATAGACAAATTCCTGTTAGATCTGTGCATATATGCGTATATCTAACTATATAGAAATGTCAATTCATATCCCATACTAATTTCATACTTTCACTAGCAACTTTCCTAAGTGTAAATTTCTAGTCGCCTTATTTTCAAACGATCCCATCTGAATGGCCTAAAGGCCAACTCACTCTCGCTTAGCAACATTCAGCGATTTCTTACTCTTCTTTCTTCAGAGAGTGAAACTTTGGCAATTGTAACCAGCTATGAGAAACGTGTAGCTAAGAAGCTCACTCACTCGAATATACTCTACATAAGCCTCGCACTAATGCTACTGCATCAGCAGGAAGGCAAAATTGAGAATCTTTGACAGCAGACTCTCTATAAGCGATAAGATTATTGTACTTTGATCAGTCTTCACTCTGAGAGAAAAAAGTTTTATAAATATTAAGAAATTTACCATTTTAAATATTTTTATATTTTTATATTTTAAATTTCATTGAGCTTTAAAAGAGCTAAATTCAGGAAAGACGCACGAAATACTTGAGAATATTTGAGCAAAAGAGAACTATGAAAATCGATATTTATATATAATATAATAATCGATAACTGATCACTAGCCACTCTTCACTGATCACGCATATCATGATAATAATCATATGTGTAGGAGCTCAAGCTTCAGTCAGCAACAATGTCGCTTCGTCGTGTGGCACTATGCACAAGGACTTTCGGGGCATTGGGATAGCTTCTTCTGTATGAAAATAATTTCTGTTTTCTTAATAGTTGGAAATGAATCGCGAAATACTCAAAATCTTCTCATTTCTTATCATTTCATTTACATATTTAATGGAAAGTAGAAAGAGTATATTGCAGCTGCCTACACTCGAGTGTCTGTTGGTCTTAAAAACTGTGGAGATCGCGCTTACCAAGATGAGCTATAATGCAGCTTTAGAGCTAACATCGATCAGCAGCATATCGATCTATTGAAATTATTGATTCTTTACATAAATTGCAGTTGTTTTTTTATCGTGAGCGAGCATTGTGCAGTCGCGTCCTCTTCCTCTGCATGTGCTGAAGCTAATTGATTGCTGCAGCAGCAAAATAAATACAGATTTTTTGTTCAGTTGAGCGCTTTGACTGCGAAATGCCGATGGCAACATTTCGCTAACTACATTTGCTTATTCGAACTGCATAGCGAGGGATTCGTCTCAATTCGTTTGCAATTAGTTGCAATAATGTTTGCATTTGCTTCGTCTGCTTCATAAATTATGTGTGTCTGACAGTTCTACTTCCAGGAGCTGGCTGACTGACTGACTGATTGACTGATTGATCCGCTGACCGACTGACTGCCTGTCAATGCTTGGCATCAAGCGCGTTTCATGGCCTGACAGCCGCCCTCAACGGGCAGCCAGCAGCTGTCACCTACAGCACGCTCCGGCCCTGGCATTCCTTTAATCAGCCCCTGCTCACCCCCCGCGTGCCAGCTCTCATTGATTGCTTTGTGCTTTTGTGCCCCACCAAAGAATTGACTTTGTATCCACCTACCGCCCCCTTGGCCCGCCTCTGCCAGCATTTGGCCACATTTCAATTCCGTTTCACATTTGGGCTCATGTGCGTGTTCGCCACATCATACATATTTGGAGGCTCACAGCCTCTGATTGTGTGCTGCATGCTGCATGCTGCATGCTGCATGCTGGATGTCTGACAATTTGCATTTCTCGTTTGCTTACTGCAATTGCACTGCAGCAGCTGCCACTCGCCGCTCCTTCGCCTCAACTCTTGTAATTGCGTGCGCATTGGCCAAATGCTTTCCTCACTGGATGTTCACATGCTTTTCACATTTTCTGCTGCTTTTGCCCAGTGCTGTCGCCCCTCTAATCAATGGCACAAGCAGCTGACGGAATTGATTAAAAGTTTATCGCATTAGCAATTTGATGCCAGCAAATGCATCGCATGCCGATCCAAGCTAAATTTGTCAAATAATTCGAAATCATTTTGCACTTTTACATCGACTTGTTTCCTTTGATACGTTTAGGAATTTTTGCATTTACAATAGAATTCCAGCAGAGACTGATTTCAGTCTGTCAAAGTGCTGAGAAAACTTGCATCTATTATAGATAATCGCAGCTGATTGAGACACTTGGAATTTAGATTTGTTTATGAGTAACTAAACGCAAATCATACAGAGAAATCGAGTAAGGGCAATAGGAAAAACTTTTGATATATTAAATAGTTTCAAGCTGAATTTAAAAATACTTTCACTCTCGATGGAATTGCTCATAATAAAAATAATTCCATTTTGGATAATTCACTTTATTGCACCTCGAATATTTTACTCGAGCTATGACAAACTGCTAGGTTTGTTAGCCAGAGACGTTACCTTAGCAAGAATGTTGAGAGTTGTCGAATAACAGAATCGATGGGCGATGAATCAGCCCCAGATATCGCATTCTATACTTGAATAAGATTTTCAAGTTTGTCCCATTCATATGGCAAATCTTATTGAATATTTCAACAGCTACACATTATCGATAACTTCAATTAAAGCTGAATGAAAGGTATCGAAAATATTACTACTTTTGCTTGCTCAACTAATATATACAATGGTGTCCGAGAGGAAATATTCAGAAACTCAAATAACAGATGACTGAGTCCACGACATTTGACGTTCTGCACAAATTCGATAATTCGATACATTTCTTAAGCTATTCCCTTTCAAATGGCAATCTTATTGACTACTTCAACAGTTGCATATTATTGATAACTTAAATAGCTGAAGTATAATATAAGATGAGGTTTTTATATATTCCATATTCCAATTCCATAAATTCTCCGATTCATACATTTTCCAATCGCATAGTAATACTTAGTTGAACAGCTGCAAATTATCGAAATAATTCTTACTTGGTCAACTCTTAAATAGTCTTTTCAGTATCTGCCGAGTTATAGCTGTGCCCCTGGTTCCTCTAGCCAAGCTTTTCCTAGGAACCAACTCCTAGACTTCCCACACCTTCGACATCAGCCACAGTTATGCTATAAATTTGAATCATTTATCATTATGAATTTTTCATTTTAAGCTTTCATTAAATCGCGCTTTTTCAATCCGTGGCTAATTAAGCGCCAACTGACGTTCATTTTAGCTTTATTAAATTACCATTGGCAGTGTCAACATTGGCTTCTCTCTCTCTCTCTCTCTCTCTCTCTCTCTCTCTTTTGCTCTCTCTTTCCCTCTCCCTCGCTGTGTGTTTTGATTTATGCAGTTTTAAATATATCCGTACAATTTGGCAAAGCGCCAGCAAAAACAGCTTGACTTGCCGCGCCCCCCTCGCCATCGCCTTCTCTCTCATATCATTTTTCAAATATATATTTTTTTTTGAAACACTGGACTAGTCACTTGGCGCAGCTGCTGTCGGACAGCCATTTGTAAGGATAATGCGCCGTTGTCAAATTGCCAAGAGTCTGAAGCTTATAGAGTCCTGGCTGAGGCTGGCTGGAGTGGGTCAGCGCGTGTTTGATGCGGATGTGGAAACAGCTGTTTAGCGCTTAAGCGTATTTTGGCAGTTGCTTTCACTTTGCCTTTCACTTGGCTTGTCCATTTTCACAGCCACACGGCTGGCAGCTGACCAAGCCACGACCCCAGCAACCCTGACCCTGAGAGGCAGCCTTTGCCTTGCCCCTGGCCTCGGTTAACAGCTTCCAATGCAGCGTGTGTGGAAGGAGTTTTAATCAAAATGCAAAATATAATTGCAATACTTCTGCGTGTGTGTGTGTGCGTATAAGTGTGCTCACTGGAGCATAAAAAGCAATACAATTTCATGACCTTGCTCAATCCGGACTCGCTTTCGCTCTGGCATCCCCAACCGACAGCAATTACAATTGAAACAACAACCATTTGGCGTGACAATAATCAGGACACAAATATGCAAAAGCCGTCGAAGCGTTAAATTATATTTTTGCTGCTCAGCTTTAAGTGGGCGTCTAGAGTCGCTCGAGCCTGTGAGCGTGGCAGGCCCACAACATTTATGTTT